GTATATTCCAGCAAATCTGAAGAATGTAAAATCGAGATTTATTCTTAAAATTCCATTTTCTCAACAAATCTGAAGATTTTAGATCAGACTTCTTTCGTCTTCAAAAGAATCCTTTTGTATAAGAAAAATAAAGTTTTCGGCTTTCTCGAATTCTCCAGCAGATATATTAGCCAAACGATTCATTTTTTCATATAAGTAGGTCGGAATCTTAACATCCAAGTAATAGTTCGTACAATCATAGAATATTTCGAAAATCCGGAGGCAGTTTTAGCTAGAATAGTTTCAACCGTTGAATTCTTCGCCGAAATGACAGTTCGATGTCGTTCTTTATCGATTCTTCTTTCAAAAATCAGGATCATTTGAAGGCCAAGTTTCTGGAGGTTTCTCAGAAATTCAGGTCTGTCCAACATTGGATTTCAGGAGTGGCACTGGATAGCATTCTCTGACAATAAATCAGCAGGTTTTAAGATTCCTGGTAACGTTTCCAACATCCTTCTTTGCTGTAATCTTTATCTCTTGACTCGGTTCTACAAAAACAGACCAAGTTTCGCTTCTTTAGCCTGCTAAACCACGAAGAGTCTGACCAAAAATAAATTCGTGTTTATCAATTCAAGCTTTCATAGTTAATGATAAATCTTGCCCTCAGAAGTGCGGAATTAATTCCAACCTCGTAAAGTGATTTCTTTCATGGAGTAAGTCGGGATTTTGCTAGGACAAAAGTAACTCTTCATGTCTGTGTTCTTAAAAATATACAGGCACCATAAGCAGTTACTTGCATCGCAGAAGACGTGTAAAGAGCTTGTAATTACTGAAATTCTTGTTGGGATTCGGCACTCCATTAAAATGTATTCGTAGACCATTACTGAATTCTTTCTGAATTTCTTCTGGTAGTTCCTCGTCCCAGTCAGACTTTAATTTCCAGTCTTCTGCAAATAATATTTGGAATAGAAGAGCTGGTGAAGAAACTTCTATAGGGAAGATGAAGCCTATGAGAGGAGGTTCGTCTTGTGGGAGTTCAGACCAAGAACTAATCGGCATCCCAGTTCATTGATGGGCGGTACCACTGAAGATTCGAGCACTTTCTCTGGACCTTCATTCAAATCTAAACTAGTTTTCCAAATCTAAGGTGACCAGCTGTAGACATCAGTTGTGGTTCATTAATGTGTGATTCGATTTTCTTTCTTTAAAAAAACAAAAAAAATTATCCATATAATGTGCCTTCTAACTTTTTTTGCGATCTTGCTTAAATCACCAGGTGGGTTTTCTAACAAATTATTTAGGCATGCTGAAAGAAGAAATAGAGAACAGCAAACACCAAGAACTACTCTGCAATGCCTAAATTCAACAATATTTCCCTTTTCCCACCACAAGAAGCGTAGGAAATCTCTATAAAGCGATTGCATAAATTCTAAAATTAGTTAAAACTATTGGAATTAAATCTATTAAATTTGGACAACTTCCAGACAATCGTTCAGAGAAGATGCATTTTCATTTTGATGCATCAAATACGGGCCTAATTTCGTAGAACTACACTTTAAAAACAGCTCGTGTGGTAAATAATGGGTCCTTCATTGCATTTGTTTCCGGTCAATTTCATTATTCCATTTTCCACCGTTTTTAACTACATCGTCATATTATTAACTTGTTTAGTTTCTTAAATTTATTCGATGTATCTGGAGTCTTTTTGAGCAGCTTGATTCGACTGTAAGGAAGGGCAACCATCAATCCTTGAAACGTACTATTGTACATAACGACCTGTAGCTTTCATTTCTTTGGTAGTATTCTCAAAAAATTTCACGACTTCTTATCTTTCCTCTGTGAATTCTTTCAACGGATCGAAATGCCTAGTGTTTCAACTTCCCAAAATTCGATGTTTCAATAGAACTTCATTGAAATAACTAACAGGAAAATAACGTTGGGTCGTAAGTACTACCTACGAGTGTCCAAACCTAAAGTAGTTCTGACAGCCACTAAATTCTTTTCATAGATACACCTCGGTGTTACAATTCGCCACGTCTGCGCCTAATATACCGGATATCTTCCGAACAACGATTATCTTTTAAAAATCACTTACCTCAATTCTTTACTTTTAAGGATTCGATAAACCTTCTCATTTTTAAATCTTGGTACGTTAGTACAAATTTGATCAGATCCAATATATCAATTCAAATATTTAGAATCAAGGCTGCGTAGTTTTGTACATATCATAGACGAGAACGGGATCCTCTTACACCCACAATACTGCGATAAAGTTACCTGCCCTGTGGTATCAAATGACATTCTTTTGCAATTGAATTTTAATGTAACTTTTCTGAGAGCCTGAATCACATAATACTCTCACGCGGATATGTTTTATTATCAAAAAATATGTGCAGTCAGAGTTTGTAAATATGAAAAGAATATTAAATGAAATAGATAAAGTTTAACTACTTCTGATTCATTTCATTCTGAGGCTTTTATCATTTTCATAGTTTCTAATTTTGGAACACATTATTAAATAACGCTGACCTTACATAACGCACATCTTACAAAAACTCGACATTTTAATTATATGACCCTTTCTTAAACTTTAAAACAAACACCTTTCTTCTTCAGTATTTTATTACGTTCATCAATTAAAGAATCAGCATCTGTAGCACAGTTTGAGAATATGATTGTTCTATCACAAAATGCAAACTCTTTCTTTAATTCGAGAATTCTCTGTTGAAACTAAGGCAGCAGCCGTAGGAATATCTTTATTTCTGTTAATTCTCGAATTACCTTTTGTTCGCCATTAAAAAAATTTTTTTCTCATTAAAAAACCTTTTCTAATTTAATCCTTCCGCTTCTACTTCATTTTAAAAAATTCAATAACTCGCATAAACAATCATGGATTTTGTCGAAGCCGTTTGAGTTACCTGATGTCTTTTCCAGATCTTAAAATTTTTCTGGCATAGCTGACTCAACTACGGAAAAGCATCGCTGCATATTTTCTTTAGTTACGCTAAAGATCTAAAGCACGTAACGTGTTTCTAGTTTGTATAGAGTTGCGAAATTGGAATATTTTTCCCTTTTAGTAGAACTAGAGACATAATTCACGAACATAGAATTCTAATAAATTTTCCTTCCCATCTGGATTTAAAGCTCTATAGCTTTCTGATAATTTTCTTTTGACGGTGGGAAACTTTTTGATTAATTTTTGTGCTGATGACCCAGGTTTCATACTAAGTCTCAATATTCAAATTATCTTCATCTGATAAAGAATGATCATTATGAATTTAGTAAACTGTCCCCAGTAACCAATCCAGTTTCTTAAATTTCCATCAAATTTAGTTAATTCTATCTTAGGTAATTTTATCCGAGTTTTTAACCCAATCTGAGATATAGCTTCAGCATCTGAGAGTACTGTTTCTGTAGAAATTGTTTCTTTAATTTTAAGAAATCTTAATTCGTACTCACCGCATTTCGCCATTTCTTCCTCCACCTTATCTTCCGTCACATTTTTATCTTTCAGAACTTCTAAATGAATGGAATTTAGAGCATTAATCCTTTCATATTTTATTTTTAATGCTTCAAATCTTGCTTTCAGTTCTGTTTTATCTCCTCTACTGGAGATAAGTTCTTCTAAATTATTTGCTTCAACTGTGAACAACCGCCGAAGAACTCTTCGTTCTGTCGTATCCATAATCTTCATGCGCAGCTTTGAATCAGAAATAAATCTAACACCGTAGTTCAATTTATGACTTTTATTTAAAAGTCCCTATTCCGGGCGCCAGAATGTGGCGAAATGGTCCTGATAAAATAAAAATGACTTCGCCGGGTTTAAAATACTACGGTGTTTAATTTTACGCAAAGAATACGCAAACTTAGAGCAGACACATCTTTATTACCATTTTCAAACTCAACTGACATATAGAATATTCTAAGTAAACAATATATTTTTTGTTGCCATTCCAAAAAAGGTAAATACAAAACGATATAACCGTATTCATTTCCAACACTGACTACCACTTCGATCTTACGACTGAGTCCATCATAGATGAATAACAGAATCTCATTCAAAATCAGTCAGATCGGATCAACTCAATAGATCATTTTTATAATCAAAGAATTAAACTCTTGAAAAAAAAAGGGGGGGTCGAAAATTATTATCTCATTGAAACTGCAAGACAAATTAAAACAGATCTTTGAAAAACGCTGAGCTAAATATTAAGGACATCAAATCTCAAGTCGATAATTCTATGCAAGTTTAACCCTCTAAATGCACTTTGATTAACGAAAAAGCAGCTGTGTCTAAAGAAGACAAATTTTACCAAGACACTCCAGACTGCACGTTACAAGAATCACAAACGAACGATCAACAACACGATGGATTCTAAACTTGACAACATCAGGATCATTCAACTAGAGAATATCAGACTCTATCTACTCATCACATTTCAAATGACAACTATCCTAAAGATAATGACAAACTACCAAACACAAAATTACCAAATCTTTTGCTATACACTCAAGGTAATATACAACTACGAAACTTCTTAAGGATCTAGACCAATGCCTTCCACTGAATACTCTCAACATAAATTTCGCAAAGATTACCAAACTCAGACGTGGTGAAATTACTGTTTCATGTTACAATAACTCTGATGTACACCTTCTAAACGACAAGGTCTTCAACAGCAACGTCAAAGATTTAAGTATCAGGATCTCAATACCTACGTGCATTAAGTTCCCACTTAATATTCGTAGTTAGATATTATCAATTTATTGACATCGACTACAAACCTGCCAAGTGTCTAAGTCAACTAAAGCCATTTACGCTTATCCACAAACTTTCGGAACCCTCAGAAAGCACACCAAAATGGCTCACCGTCATGTATGAATGTACACCGTCAGCCTCCAATAGTATACAAAAATTAAAAACAATATCAATTAGTTCAAAATTCATCCGTATCACAGAAAACTATGGGATTAGACGCTGCATTAATTGTCAGAATTTTAATCACAACTACAAATACTGCTCAAACTGGACCCATTGCATGTTCTATGGTGAATGCCACCATGTTACCCAGTGCCAGGAAATAAACCCAAGATGCATTAATTGCCAGGTAAATAATAACTATCTCCATACAAATTTGGATATATTCCATAGCGCAAGCGACGTCAGATGTCCTTCCTATGAACTAGAGATTGAAAAGAATAAATCAAAAACCATTTATTAATGGAATCCTTCAAGAATATAAAATGCTACAAATAAATCTGAAAAGATCAAAAACCACACTCCTAAATACTGTGCAATATTGCGAAGAAGAGAATATACAAATAATTTTCGTTCAAGAGTCTTACATCCTCTCAAACCAAAAATTAGAAATTCCTACTGGCCTATTCGCTATTCTTTCTTACTCCAACATATTCACAATAATATATAATGGACCATTAAGCCTAATTACTACGCACTCACATGAAAAAATGCTCACTTAGAAATATACTCAGACGGAAAAAAGCTCACATAGATATATTCTTACATGAAAATAAGTCCACTGATAAATAAAATACGTAGAAATATCCTTAGATTAATCAATCAATAAATTAATCGATTTGAACATCGAACACCTACTTGAATTGTTGAAAGAAAAATTATTTAAATTACAAAAACATCTATGATATACATACATACCATAGATGTTTTGGTATATATATATATATATATATATATATATATATATATATATATTATATGTAAGAAAAATAAAGAATATGTAAATGATTAAATTAGCAACGTAAATTTCCTTTCTCCCTATTCTTAAAATACCAATCTCTATTTGCACTGCGTCATTTCGAGAAAAGTCTATGTCATATGATTCTTACGTAATTCTGGTGATGCAAACTGAACTAAAACTCAAGCACCCAATAATAATTTTATAGCAATATTAACTACCCCATCTAAATGCTTTGAGAACCAAAACTAACTCAGGCTGACCTAAGATTTCATCCTGAACATTACGCACTTGCTTTCCACGCTTTGGCTTATCTACATTGCTGTCTGTCTGCTCTGCTTTCTTGCTACAAAATTATCAAAAATGTAAGCCTTTTGGAATAGGCACATTTGATGTGCCGACTTGTGTGTAGCCGCAACATATTGCTCAAAATAAACAATCACGTCTCCGAATTGGTCTCTAATACTGTTTACACATTTTTAAACGTTGTTTTCTTTTTTTGTAATCTGTACTTTCCGCAACTGGTATAACTTTTTCGAATTTGGTTTTCTTTTATATTGCGTAATTAATATTTTATGCTTTTTTAATTTTTTAATCTGTTTCCTTCGGGTGGGTGGGTGCTTTTCTTTTGGTTTCCTGATAAGCTAATGCTGCTTATATTGCAGTAATTTTGATGTTAGAAAATTTCGTTTGCGTGTATGTGTTTTGCATTTTTTTTCGTGGATATAGACTACTTTGTGTGGCGGGTCTTGGGAGGTTTGTCACGCTTTTAATTTTGGTTGGATAGATTTTTTTAAAAATGATGAAACGATTTTTTTGCAAATAAACAAATAAACTGCAATCTCAGAATCTATTATGGGCATAATCTGTTAGGAAAAAAAAATAAATGAAATTTTTAGCGTCCTTTTTTTTTAAAATTTTTTTTCAAACTTTATTTTGTTTTTGAGAATTTTATATTTGAAATTTTCATCATTTTTTGCAAATATTGGAATTGGATGCTTTTTTTACTTTTTTGACAAGTGCACCAAAACAAAAAAAAAAAACAAAAAAATTGAAAAAATCTTGCCAAAAATATCAAAAGTCAAACTTCCGACACACAGCTTATAAAACAAACTTCGACATTTAAAAAAATGATAAGGAAAATTCGATTTTACTTTTTTGAAAGAATGCATGGCAGAAGGAAAATCCATCATTTCGAAAAACAAAGGAATCTCATTATTACCCACTATTTTTATGACATTATTTATGCTATATAAGTTTGTTATTGGGCCAGTTGTTACTTCAGCGTGAGATTAACTTTTTCTTAGATGCGTTTTGCATTCCGTGTTTAACGTTCTTATTAGATTGAAGCATAACTACTGATTATACTTAGTGATATTCTAAACACTTTTACGAGTATTTCTGTGGAAAATTCCAGAACTTTGAAGTGTTTCCGTTGATAAAATAAATTTAATTAAGCTGTCATCGGATTGGAGTGCAATGCCAATCTTTTACGAACTATTATCAATCTATTACAAACCCGTACGCACGAAACAATATTATAATTAATTAATGTATTAAAATTGTTTTGAACGTGTTTTGCAAAACAAAAACAGTAAAGAAAAATTCTGTTGCGTTTTATGAGTTTTTGCAATTTTTCTGGCCACATAAGGTTTTAAAAAAAGGTTTGTAATTAATGTTTATATTTACCAATTGAATAAATAGCACTAGGTTTGATTTATATATATATGTATTGAAATTCAGTAATAAAATTTTAAAGATTTGAAATGATTAAATGTCTATTTAGACAGTTTGTATTCTTTAAACTGCAAATGCAAACTGAGAAACCTTTTGCATTTTTTTCAATAAATCCTTTTACTTAAAGTCCTAAAACATGTACAGGTATGGACTAAAATTTTTATTATTTTTACTGCTTATTTAAAATTATATATTTTATAGAAACAAGGATGGGTTTTGCAAAATACTGAAAGGAAAAATTATTTGAAATGAAAATGTGACTGAGATCATATTTGTTTTAAAGATTTTAGATAAAAGTATATTTTTATTTTTTTCTCAGAAACTAATTCATTAATTGCAAAATCATTCCTTGAAGTTATTAAGAACTCTCTAATAAATGCAATAAAAAAACTGGAGGAAGACAAATGAAAATTGTAGGAGAAGAAAGATATTTTAATTGTAAAATTTTTCTTCAAAAATTTAAATTTTAAAAAATTACTAGCAAAAACTTTTTTTCAGCTTAAAATTATTTTGTCTCACAAAACCATTTAATAATATTCATAAAAAGTAGATGAAAATGCTTAATTTTTTTTAAAAAAATTATTCAAAAGGTACCCTTGTCGCGTTGAAGCCGATATGCACTTGTCTTAACTTTAGTTTTAATTTGAACGATATTTCTGGAATACCTTGTCTGTATTTGTCTATAATTTCAGTATCTTGTACAGTTCTAATTTTTTTTTGGGGGGGATGCTATCATATCCCCAGGCATCTATCAGCACGATTGCTTCGCTGACAGTCCAGCGAGCAGTAACTAAAATTAAGTGAACCGCGCTGTATAGTATGGGAAATCTCTCCATTTGCCCTGCACACCGAGAGGTAAGGAACATTCAACGAAGCTCTACCTCCAATTTGACGAGGCAGTTAATGCTTGTCCCATGTGAACGGGACACGTTGGAAAAACCGGTTTTCGCTACCGGTCGAGTCTGCTCTTGTGAACGGGGCTGGGGAAAGGGCGACTGGGGATTAGGGGACCCAATTGCCAAATCCTGGAGAATCATCATCCATCACCTTTTTTTTTTACTTTAGCTCGGGCGTCACTGTAGAGACTTTTTTTGGGAGGGGGGAGCAGGAAATGGAAGAAATGTGCAATGCCCTCAACGGGACTTGGACCTCTCAAATACGCGCTGAGCGTGCTGACCATTACACTACGAAGACATGCTAAGAAGGCGGGAGAAATACCTTATAATGCTTCTCTCTCAGATATGAAATATTTAATACTTTTTTGTTGAAGTCTTTTATTTGACTCATGCTTTTTGTATTTAGTCTATACGCAACAGCATACACTCAATAAATAGGGAGTATGTGAAGTGTCATAAAACTACATGGGAGGGAAATCAATGAAAATAGCGTCTAGATCTATCACAGAAAAGTGTTAGTTAATTATAAAACCTAAGGGGAAAAAATCTCAAAATAAATTATGTAACATTTAAATCTCGCAACTCTGTGTGGTTATTTAATTAAATTCTTAAATGAATTTTCCTTTTTGAGAGACATGAAGAAGGTTGTTTTGCTAGCTAATAGCAGGAGATCAGTTCGGTGATATTTGCCAGATGGGAACTATTCTGATCCATTTGTCTACAGTTGCGTTTCAAGGCAAGATATACCTTTGTTTACATTTTTACAAAGCAAAACATGAACATTAAGAACACTGTTAGTTTTCTGACTCTTCATCAATTTGATAGTCTTTAAACATAACTGAACTTTTCAGATGAGATAACCAACAACCAAGTAGTTACTTTTGAATAACATTTCAGAGTTAAATAAAAATTCTTCTCTTCTTAAATTTCAAATATGTTACTTACCAAATAAGCTGCTTTGAGACCTCCGTGGTAACTTAAAACAAAATTAGTTGCTAAACCTTTTGCACCAACGTTCATCTGCGAAAGACATTATTTCAATAAATTACTCAAGTTGGCAGATTTTTAAAATTATAATATCAGATTCATATTTTTTTTTTTCAGTTACATGGAAATTTATGTCAACCGTGACTATAGATCCCTTGAGAAGCAGCAAGGAAATTGAGAAAACGTTTCCTCTTTGAAACTTTGTGCATTTTTTACCCTGTTATCAGATCCATATATTCACACATTTCTAACGTTATGCGGTATACAATACACATGTTATCTGAAAAGCTCAATGGGGTACTATATATTTCATTCCTTTCTAATTGCAAAGGCGTTTTAAAGGAGAAAACTTGTGATATATTTAATGGTTATTAAGCAGCTATTGTGATTTTGACTTTTACTGTACCCTTTTTCTTCCATATTTCTCACCAGAATGCAAAGTTTATGAGTTGAAGATTTTGAATCTTAGGAGAAGAAAGCTTCTTGCACTTGCGTTGCGCTATTAGAATTCCTAGCCAGCTGTGTATAAAAATATTATTCCGGTTTTTTATCCCCTTGCTAGCTGGTATTTTAGCCTTCTGTGCTGATAAAGTATTGAACCAGCTTTATAGCTTATTTTGTTGAATGTGCAGTTTTCGATTAGGTTACCCGCATTTGAATTTAATTGACTATTATTGCTTAATTTACGTCGCCATAATTGGTAGTTTGTCTATAGGACAAGTCGCGTCTTTTATGCTCCTAATTCAGACTAAATAAAAAGGTTATTCAAAACGTCTCCTGTATTTGTGAGCTCTATCATGGGTCCTCCGTTGACGAGGGAAAGGGTGACAAAGAATGGGTCTCTTGTCCAGTTTATGAGGCTAATTGAGCCCGACTCTCCCTGAGCTGGTATATAGGCATCCGGAAATTTTTACTAGCTGAATTAGGCAGCGAAAATTATAAGTGTTTAAAACCGCCCTTTAAAAGCATTTCCTGTGATGAAATATAGGGCGAAATCAGAAGTTCAGCATTTTGGTAAATAACCAGACTACTACAGAGGAATTTATAGATTTCAATTTAAGGGAAGTGCAGGTAATACATTTGCTGTTGGAAGAAAAAAAGAACCTGATGCAGAAGTTATTCAAGTAGTACTACTCGGGTTGTTGCCTCAGATTTAGGATTTTTTTTTATCTAAGAAACTCTGGTTTATAATATTCGACTTGCTTTGGTAGCATAAACTAGTATCAAACAAATTCTGGTAGCGGAACGAAAGAGAAGGTGACAGTAAAAGCCCAAAATATCAAATAATAGCTTAGTGAAAAATAATAGTAATAACCTTACAGGTTAGAACAATTACTTGATTCACGAACGGGCAATGCGAACAAGGATCTAACGGACATTTTATCAAATCCGTAGCTGAAGGAAGCTTTAGGTTTGAAGGCACGACTTCGGGTCGGCAGAATTTTTCATCCGCTAGTGACGATCATAGAAAAAACCTCAAAAGAGGAAAATGAGAGATAAGAAAACTCTTTAAACTAGATAGATATGTTGTAGCACAGAAGGACAGTTTTCTCAGAAAGAAGAAAACCATCTCATACTGAAATGAACAAGGTGCTAATTAAAAATTTGTTTCTCCAGTGATTCAAACTGTGTTAAATAGCATACTATCAGATACATTATTAGACATGAGAAAACAAAGTAGTTTTTTTGGCAGAAAAGCTTTTCAGAAAAAAATTTCAGGAGGTACAGATTGTTTGATGTGGTGAAAGCAAAAGTGTTAGCGGGCCAGGGGAAACATTGTGAATGTGTAAGGAGAGTGACTTTGAATGTGCAGGTTAAAAATGAGTACCAGAGAGTGATTTCTCAGAGGTGAAAAATTTACAACTAAATACCATACTAGGGATAGATTTTTTAAAATCTGTCCACGCAAATGTTAGTTTTGAGGAAGATACGTTGCAGCTTTATAGGAAGAAGCTGATGGAAAAGGTAGTATAGCCGAGGTTTTGGACCTGAAAGCATTTAAAACGGAAGAAAAAAAACAAAGCTAGACAGGCGGCATGAAATTTTTCAGACTTACATGATTACACCACGGGGTTGGTCAGTCACTCGACAGACACAGAAACTTGTCTCCTGTGTAGAGCAAAACTCTACCGCTTCAAGGACAGAGTTAAAATCATAGGAACCCATATTGCACAAACGCTAAAAAACAAAATTGCAATCTCCATAAGTAGTCCCAAAGTCAGCCCCATAGCACTTGGCCGAAAGAAAAATAAGAAATGTTTCTTCTTGCATTTCGTTTTCCATCTTTATGTCGCGAATTTTAATTATATTAATGTTCGTTTTAAGTTTTCATTATTCAAGTGATTTTATTTGCCCTCATGTATATTTTAAACTGGTAAGAAGAATATTCTGAAATTGTTAAAGCTTTATTTAGCTCGTTATTCTTGAAACTGTAGATAGTGTAACAAAGACAGGAAACGTTACGAGAATTCATCTAGTTTATGGCCTTTTACTTAACAGTAGGTTATTGATGGCAGTTAAGGTAATTGTCGAATTTCTTCGCTGGGGGTTTTACTAAATTGAGCAGGAAGTCGTAAATCGGCTTTTCATTTTCACTTGCTTTCGCTTTGTTATACTACAAGTTTTACTTCAGTTCCGTTTCAGAACAGTGAAGGTTTCTGTGAGTTTAGGTAATTGGACTTTCTCATCGTTAGTTTCGCTGTTAGCTAGGGGTCTATTTCCCATGTTTTTCCCGAAGTACAGATGTCCGGTGTCATTGTCAGATTTTTCTTGTTTTTGATTGATTGTGTGTGTGGGGGGGTGAAATTTCTCAGTTAATGATAAAGTAAAATTCTGGGGTTGGTAAGATTTAATTTTATGATTTTTTGTAAGCCTATGAAGCTACGGGGACGCAGAGACCGAGTTTACCTTGGAGGCTGCACAATGTGAGAAGTCAGTCTGATTTTGAGCTTCAAGGAAAAAGCAGAAGAAGAATTTGTGGCGGAGCTTGAACCCTTGCGGGTCTTGCTCTCGCCAGTTGTAGCGGAGTCTGATTTGACTGAATTCTGAGCATACGCGATGTGAAAGAGAAAGAAAGATCGAGGGGCGTTTTGCCCTGGTGCGGGCTTCTTGAGCAAGAGGGCTTGGGTTGCGTTTTTCTTTGCTCTAGAAGATGCATTTTTTTTTCTGCGAGATGTTTAAAAGTTTTGTGTGACATGCAAGGAACATTTTCAAGCGAGATGTCTGGAGAAATATGCGCGAGTTGTAAAGAGCATTTTACTGTAAGCTGATTACTACTTTAGTGCGTGATGTATAGAGCAAATCTACCAAAAAATTTAGAACAGATTTTCCCTCTTCATCCGAATCTCCGGATAATCTCTTCCGAACCTAAAATTTGAAATTCCCGAAGTGAATATACTTGACACTTGGAAGTTCCAGATCGACGTGTCGTTGTTACTATCCGGCCCCTGTGGTTACTGACACATAGACGTTCCACACAGAAATATGTTCCTGAAGAACGAACTTATCCCTGATCTGGCAGTTAGTTTAAAAAATAAGTCTTCACCCTGTTTCCAGCAACTGTTGTGCAGAATGGACTTCAAGGCTCGAGTGTTAGTTTATTAAACTTTTTCAAGGTGTTAGCTCAAGGAATTAGACTTTCTCCGTTAGTAGGAAATTCGGACACTCCCTTCAGTATTAGATGTTGCGGAAATTCTATGAGTGAAATTTTTAAGCTATTTTTCTCTCTTTTGTTAGTTGTCCCAAATGCCATGGTGGAATAGTTAATAATAATTTTTTTGGACGTTCAATAAAATTTTCATGCATTCCATCATTAGAGTTTTCACTGGAATTCAACACTACACCATTGAAACATTAACACTACACCATAATGTGTAACTTTTCATTGTAAAATATGTGGTAGGATTACTGATCAATTATCCAATATTTAGTAATATAATATATTCAAGAACTTAAATAAATGTGTTTGTTTGAAATTTTAATGGCATTTATTTATTTACTTTGTGTGTAATTTTTTTGGGGTGGTCTTTCATGTCACTCCATTTGTTTGAGCCTGGAGGCTTTTAAGAAACATTGGGTTTTATTGATTTGGTGTTATTGTTTACGGGTTCTCACAACGCGCCCAATAGTACTAACCATATCTTTGAGATTATTGATTTGAGTATGTGTTGAGGTTAAATGATAAAAGACATTTATGTGCTTGATAGTTTTTCACTATTGATAATATGTTATTTATTTTAAGAGTTATTGTCCGGCACCAAGATAGTTAAGGAAAAGTTAAAAAACAATTTAAAGTTTTAAGGTAATGAAGTTAAAGCTTAAAACGCCTCAACTTTCAACTATTGAACAAGTTGAGCCCTTTAAGTGACCGAGTGATGAATGCAGATGTATACTGGGAGATACGTAGGTTTGATCCTAAGCGAAAGAGTTGGTCGCGTAGTTAGTTTTCGAGTTCCCATGGGAAATGTAAATATGAACCAGATTCCCTTAGAAAGTTTTCTAAGAAGGCATCATTTTCTTTAGATAGATAGCCCTCTAATATTATCGAGAGATATGAAAAGTGGAGTACACATTTCATACAAAAGAGCATTATAGGAAATGGCACGCGTATTGTATCTAAACTGATTTCAGAATATTTTACAAAAACTTCAAAATGCATTTTTGAATGTCATATAGGAGGTAATTTTGAAACATTGTTTGCACAATCATTAGCTGTATTTCAATGTCAGATATTCAGCGATTTTATTTTCGTACATCTGGAAGTACTGCTTAGTTTTCCGTTGTTTTCTAATGAATTTCTCTGTTGCCCACTTGTAACTTTACAATATTTCAAGCATAACTGTGGCAGCAACGTTTCATTTTGATAATTTGGAAAAAAAAAAAAAAAAAAAAAAAAAAAAAAAAAAAACATTTTTTGTTGCAACTGAAATTTTTTGTCAGAATATGTATTATTATAATTTAGTATATTATTAAAATTAAATATCGAAATAAAAGTATTGCAATTTAACTTCTTTAAATTAAAATTGGAAGAGAAA